AAAAAAGACGAAGGCGGAAAATGGTAGTTGTCTTCTCGTGTACGTTGGGTGAACAGTCGCCTTCACTAACGGAGGATTTGAATTGCAATCTCTTAACGTAGCTAATGACATGATGACCAAAGTTTATATTTGATAGCAATTATTTTTTTTATCTTTGCGTGCAAAATCTTCCTGATGATAGACCAAACATGGCATCTGTGGCTGTAATGTTAAGTAGTGAGGGGGATTTGCCACAACCTAAAGAACCTAGTTTCCTCTTAGAAACAATTCCATACATAAAACATGACAATCACAATTCAGCGTCAATAAATGAAATTTCTATCACCCTGTTAGTACTCACATAAAAAATATTGTTTTATTTACATGCAATATTTACAAATTTATGGCAATATTTGGGACACGTGTGATCCGGGTAATAGCCTTTGTAGAGGGTGTCTATTATAACGCTTAATTGTCAACTCCGTTAGCTCTTGGACATGTTGGTCTTTCACAGTGAAAGGATAAAAAGCAGTGTATAGTAGGATCGCCTCTTTGTCTGCACAAGACGAATTGGCATATCCAGATTTTGATACTCTTAAATTATACTTCTCCGGCATAGGACTTAATTTTCGAGTTGGTTTTGGTTCTAAATATAAAACCAATTTCTCATATTTATCAATTTTTTCTAAATGACTCCTATAGATACTCCCTCAACCATAATCAAATAAAAGAAGAAGAAGAGGTCTTAAGAAAGATGATTATGGTGTTTTAAGAAAAATGTGTCACATTTCTTATAATTAACTAACTTATCTAACTTCCACTATAAAAAAAAACAGCTAATTACAAAGAAATTAGTGACAGAATAATTTCCGTCGCTAATTTCTGCAGATTACCCATGAAAATTCTGTTGCTAAACTTAGCCACGGAATTAGTGACGGAATCTGTCGCTAATTAGCTACGGAATTTTTTCTGTCAGAAAATTTCGTGGCTAATTCCGTGACTAAACTTTTATAATTAAAATTAGTCATGAAATTTTTTCTGTCGAAAAATTTCGTGGCTAAACTTTTATAATTACAATTTGCGACAAAATACTTTTCTGTGGCTAATTCTGTGGCTAAAATATAATATTTAATCTAATATAATATAAATATATAATTAAATTATATATCTTATGAATATTAAATAAAAGAATTAAATTTAAAAAATATATTTATGAAAAAATTATTTACTATTTAAAATTCAAAATTAGTGTCATTTGAAATTAATATTATATTTAAAATAATTTTTTTAAAAAAATAAATAGTAAAACAAATATCTAAAAATTATTTTGTTACAAAAATAGTTATGATTAAAAATTATCATATAGCTTATTTTTAGTTTCTAATAATATATATGTGTATATATAATTATTTGTGTAAGAGAATATTATATATATATTTAATTTAGCATAATAAGTCAGTAAGTTCATTACAGCTTAACTGGTGAAGTCGTGCGCGTGCACAAATGAGGTCTTTGGTTCGAGCTGTGAAGAAGTCATTTTGAGGAGAAATTATATGGTGAAAACATGTGGCAATACAAGGTGGCATGTGAGATAGCGACCCGTGGCAGCAGAGATGAGGTGACAGGGACACGTGGAGATGAGATCGTGACACGTGGCAGAGAAGGAGAGGTGGCAGCGACATGTGGAGTTGAGGTGGTGACATGTGGCGGCAAAGGTGAGATGGCATTTTAATTTTTTCAAAAAAATATATTAGCGACAGAATTGAAAATTCCGTCGGTAATTATCGACAGAATTGAAATTTTGTCAGTAATCCAATTAGTGATGAAAAAATTAGCGACCAAACCAATTCCATCGCTAATTCTGTTGGTAATATGATTTCATCGCTAGTCGTTCACTAATCCGTCGCTAATTAGATGTTTTTTGGCAATGTTCCTTAATCTAATCAAATTAGTTAAATGGGTCTTATATTAAAAATCAGAAGAGTACAACCTTTAATTCTTAGTATAAAAGTTAGTTGGAGATTCTTTTAGTCTTAAATATAAGATTCCATTCTATTTTGTTTCTAATGTTTATTCATTTTGCCCCTAAGTAATTCCTATGATAATTAAACACTTAATGGGTTTCTATTAAGGATGGTTCCAATGCATATGATTACAATAGTATTTTAGGAAAGAAAACATCCATTTATTACAAATAACTAACTCAGCTAATCTCCTTCAAAAATTAGTTATCTACTCATTTGATCTTATTTATAAGTCACTTCCAACATGTTTCATATAGATCAGGGAAAACCTTAAACTTCATTATCTCTCATTTAAAATTCAACAATTTTTTAACTTTATCCTTATTAAATACTTTATTACACCTCATGTAAATAAAATCAACATAATAATAAATTAAGGGTAAAATTGTATATCCATACAAAAAGTTCTCTCAATACTCTATTAATAGGATCAAAAAATATCTTCTCTCTTTATCTTATAAATAGGACTAGAATAGTAACTCTTATATTAACTACCGGAGATAGTGCTATATTTAAATCATGAGCACCATTAATACTGGTCTCAATCATCGCTTCACATCATGCCGCAATTGGGGCAACCCTTGTTTCGCAGACTTCACCCTTCGCAGGAGAGCTTGCCCTCCGCAATGATCCTGGGTTAGTATATATATCGCCAAAACCCAATAGAGTATACAAGGAGTGGCACTTGTTTTGGTGAATTCATATTCGTTGCGGCCCAGATGGAAACTCTGCTCCGGGTTAGACAACAATATGGCGGCGCTTGATAGGATTTTTGCCTAAATCACCCGAAAAGTGGAACGCAGTGAACTGGGGCTGAAGATGTGGGAGCAGTAAATCTTTTAGTTGCAGGGGAAAAAAACAAGGATTTACCAATGGAAGTTGTCTCTAATAAAAAGAGATTAATTTATCACAATATGATGAATTAGAAGTTAGAATTTTCGTTACTTTTAGTATCCAATAATACTTCAAAACAAAAAACTAATATTACCCCTCTTGCTTTAATGGGAAAAAAAACATGGAGAAAAAAAAAGAATAAATACTGCAATGACTGAAACATCTTTACCCTTATGTCAAAATATATCATGTTTAAAATTAAAATAAATATTATAATAGAATAATTACATCAACATTATTATCATTAAATACTTTAAAGGGAATCTCAAATGGATACTTAAATAAGCAAAATCTTAGTTTAGATATAGATGATTAAATTGGGATTGGCAAATTTACTGAAATAATAATATTGCTCTTTATTTTTTTTCCTTAAAAAAATACTAAGCATCCTCACTAGCAATCGGAGCTACAATGATGGTGGATGCAGCAGGAGTTTAGGTGGGCCGCTATCATTGGAGCTCTGGCAGCCGCTCGACGACCAGTCGTTGAAGCTGTGGCGGTTGACAACTTGTTTTTTTTTTTTTCACAACTTCAATAATACGGTTAACAAATTCTTTAATGCTTTTAACAAGTCCGGTATAGTAGTTATTAACAGGATTTTTAGAAAATTCAAAAAGTGACATTTTTACGATTTCAGTGACACGATTAACAAGTTTTGTAATCTTATTACCAAGTTCAATATAATAGATAATAACAGCTTTTTTGAAAAATTTAAAAAGTGACATTTAAAATTTCATTAACTAGGTTAACAAATTATATAACAATATTAATAACTTTCATAATGCCATTAACAACTCTAACATTAGGTCATATAGTGATATCAATAACTCTCATAACCATAGTGACTGTTGAATAAATAGAAAATTTTTGATGTACAATCTTTATAGGGAGCTAATATTAAAAACATCAATTTTCATAAGAAAATTTGGTTAATGGTGTTATGAGAGTTGTAAATATCGTTATATGATTTATTAATCATGTTATTAAAGTTGTAAAAATGCCATTTTTTGAATTTTTTAAAAAACCTGTTATTAATTGCTATATTAAACTTGTTAATAGCATTATAGAAGTTGTTAACTGCATTTCTAAAATTGTAAAAATTTCCCTTTTTGGATTTTTTTGAAAAATCTGTTATTAATTGTTATACCAAACTTGTTAATCGCATTACTAAAATTATAAAAATCTTTTAAAAAAAAAATAGTCCCGAGTTGCTAGAGCTTAGGGCAATCTGTCATCAGCCAGTTGCCAGAACTCCAGTGACGGCAGTCCACCTAAACTCCATAGTTGCCGCAAGCACTAGAGCTCCAGCAACTGGCTAGCCAGTGAGGGTGCTTAGTATTGTTTTTGAAAAAATAGAGAGCAATATAGTCATTTCAACAAATTTGTAAATTTCAATTTAGTCATTTATACTTAAGCTAAAATTTTTCTTTTCTAAGTTACTATTTGGGGATTTTAAAATTTTAAAATCATTTTTCTGTCATTTTTCCTAATTTTTTAAAACTACATCATTTGATAAAGATATATTTTTATATTATTATATATTAAAACCAAATAATTTAGCAATAGAATATTATTTTTCAATACAAAAATAAAAATGGATAAGTTTTTAAAGTTAAATGTAATAAAAAGAAACAAATGAATTATTTATTATTTACTATTAATTACATGTAAAGAAGTAATATAAAAAAGGGTTAATACAGACTTTGGTCTCTCAAATTTGTTTTTATTTTGGTTTTAATTTTTTAAGTTTTAAATCATAGATTTTGATTCTTCCAGTTTTTTTTTTATAATATTGATTCTTATAATCCAATAAAAACTCGTATCATTTTAACAATTAAGAAAATAAAACTTTTGATTTAAAACTTGAGGAAATGAAAATTAAGAACAAAGATTATATTAACCCCATGAAAAAAAATGAAAGGAATGAAATGAAAAGGAACGCTTGTAAGCCGAGTTAAACCTAAAGTTTCATTCATAAAACGGCGGAACAAGTGATTATAATCTCACCTTTGACGCATAATGGAGTTAAATGGGTTTTATTCTTCAATTCTCCCTGCTATGCTCGCTATTACCGAACAACGTTCATTTTACCATCTATTTTCCTTTGCAACTAATGGCTCATTCTATTACGGCGTTACCCAGTATCATCCACTTCATCCTTGGAGGGAACTTAATTGGGTTCGGAAGATTGAAGCTTGGAACTTGGTTTCTCCAACCACTAATTTCCACTAACTGAAGCAGCGAAATCTGGTACAAAGGTCTTTCTTAATTTGCTTCAGTTTATACCATTTCGGTGTCCATTTTATGTTTGAGTCTCATTCTGGTTCCAGACTAAGTTTTAGAGTTTAAATCCCCTTCATTACAATTCTAATTGATATTAGACTCCCTGCGACCTTGGGTTCAAATATTTGGCCGACAAAAACTTAATCAGGTGGATCAGAGGCAAGATGTTCTTAAAATTTTTTTTAAATAATAAGTGCTATCTATAGGCAGATAGGAAGCAGCCTGATTAGCCTTCGGAAAAGTAGTTGTTGGAATTGACTTGACACAAAAAAAGGGGGCAAAAAAAAAGAAGGCATTTCGCGAATTTTAACTTGTAGCATTTACGAAACGAAACCTTTTATTTTTCTTGCGACCTTTTACCATCTGAATTGTTTGGGCTTCAACGGAATAACAAACAAGATGGTGGTAGAAATGATTTAAAAAAACGGCAATTTCCTTTACATTAGGACAAGCAGAAACCAATTTGATGGCCGAAGTCAATAATGTTGAATCTTTCGTTCCGTGACCCTACTACAAGGATTTGACGGATCTCAGTACACATGCAAGGATCTGGTAGTTTGTTGACGAAAAGCATTACGTTGAATTTAAACTTTGGGTTTGGAATTCTGAATGCGATGTCAGAAAATCATTATCTTATTCTTGCGTTGAAAATTAAGTTCTCTTCCGTGCAGGGAAGAGAACATTTTTTTCTGACTTCAAGAGCACCAAGTCAACCTGCATAATTCTGCCTACTGGTGGGCTGCCCTTTCAACTTGTGCCAGGTCCGGATCACGGTTCTATATATTTTTCTTGTTGTAGACCAATTTATTAAATCAATGGCTATCCTTCCTTATTTGCTTCTTCTTCCAAATCTGCTTTTGTTCTTCTCCAGATTTTCTTTTGCAATTGATACCCTCACCCAGTTTGAGTCTCTTCCTGATGGCCAGACCTTGGTTTCTGAAAATGAAATCTTCGAAATGGGTTTCTTCAGCCCTGGTAGTTCCACAGACCGCTATGTTGGAATCTGGTACCACAACATCCCAGGTAGAACTGTTGTTTGGGTTGCCAACCGAGGCAGACCCATCAAAAACAACTTTGGCATGTTGAGAATAAACACAGAGGGACATCTTGTGCTTCTTGGCCAAAACGAGACAGTTGTTTGGTCAGGAAATTCCACCACAAAGGCTTTTAGTCCAATTGTGCAGCTTTTAGGCTCTGGAAACTTGGTTCTAAGAGATGGGAAAGATCAAAAGCCTCACAACTATTTGTGGCAAAGCTTTGACTATCCTTCTGATTCAATTTTGCCAGGAATGAAGCTTGGATGGGACCTCAGAACTGGCCTCAATCGACGTTTTACAGCATGGAAGAATTGGGATGACCCTTCCTTTGGAGGCCTTACAAATGAACTTGTACTACACAATTATCCTGAAGAAGTAGTCAGGCAGGGCACAACAGAGTATATAAGGAGCGGTCCCTGGAATGGTGTCCGGTTCAGTGGCATTTCTCATGCGACGACCAATCCACTTCATGAAGGAGAGTTTGTCTGGAATAAAGATGAGGTGTATTCAGTTTATAATGTGAAAAATGAGTCACTGATTACAAGATTTGTCTTGAACCAGACATTATACTCACTACTGGACATGATATGGATTGAAGAAGATCAAAGGTGGATCACTTTCAGTTATATACCGATTGATAACTGCGATAGATATAGCCGTTGTGGCCCTAATGGAAACTGCGTTGAGGGTGAGACACCAATTTGTCAGTGCTTGACGGGCTTTTTTCCAAAATCACCCAAGAGATGGAATGCAATGGACTGGTCTGAAGGATGCACCCGTAATGAATCATGGAGTTGCAAGGAAAAAAACAGGGATTATTTTGTCAAATTTAGTGGGCTCAAATTGCCAGATACTAAATATTCTTGGGTCAATGCAAGTATGACACTTGTGGAATGCAAAGCCAAATGCTGGGAAAATTGTTCTTGTACTGCTTATGCTAATTTAGATGTCAGGGGAGGAGGAAGTGGTTGTGCTATGTGGTTCAGTGATTTAATTGATATAAGGCAGATTCCCTTTGATGACCAGGATTTATATATTCGCCTTGCTTCTCCAGAAACAGGTGCAGCCTTTTAGTGACCATTTTTCAATCATCTCTTGGATCCTTTGGCAACCTCAACTTTTTGTCTATTAACTCTTCATTTTGTTGTGAAGCTGAACAGGATGGAGCTAATGGAAATAAAACAATGGTGATTACTGCACCGGTGACCACTGTATTGGCTATTATGATGCTTTTCACTTTGTTCTGCTTTTACAAGCGTAGAAGAAACTCTATGGTTGCGTTTGGTAGGAAGCATTGAAAATGAGAGATTGGGATTGAGATTACAAGTGAAAAAATCTATCAAGAGAGTGTTTAGTATAGAAGATTGTTTGATATATGAGATTAGCCAAAGCCATGTATGTGGGATTGGAGAATACCATGGGGGGAAGTGGTATTCCCCAATCCCACCTTTATGGGTTTACCTAATCCCCTATAACAAATAATTACTCATGCTAAGTATTATTTTAATGATTTTTTTCAATTACAATTTCAATCCCAATCCTTCATTTTCAATGTTTCCTACCAAACGGGACCTATAGGTAAGCATTCCCATTGCAACCGCCTTCACTTTTCTCCCACTTTTCCCATCTTCTTGTGATAAATGGAGTATAATTGAACATGGTTGAGCTTGATGCCAATTTGTTTCCTAATGGACGGAATGATTTCCTTTCCTTGTGTTTTTCTTTGACTATTTTTCTCACTTAGTTTACCAAAGTGTACTAAGTAACAACGACAAAGGCTCCTAAGGAAATATGGAGCTACATATAAATTATAGCTAATGCTACTAATAGTTGTGTTTTATTTATATATTACATTTAATGTCCAAAATTGAACAAAGAAACCTTGCTAACAGCGAACAATGAAGAAGGATCTAACGGAAACATGGAGCTAAAAACCTTGATAGCAATAAACAATGAAGAAGGTTATGAAGGAAATACGGAGCAACGTATCTATGACCTTGCGGTAATAGCTAATGCTACTAATAACTTCTCATCAGACAACAAGCTTGGCCAAGGTGGTTTTGGTCCTGTATACAAGGTAAGCATGCAATCAACTTTTACTAAGAGTGAAAGTTTACAATTATTCTTGCTGATTTATGATGTTAAATATTCAGAATTGTTTATATGAGGTAAAAATGGCAGGGTATACTTGTGGACGGACGAGAAATTGCGGTGAAACGGCTTTCACAAAGTTCTTGCCAAGGGCTGCAAGAATTTAAGAATGAAGTCAAATTGTGTGCCAAACTTCAGCACCGTAATCTTGTTAAGGTTCTTGGTTGTTGCATTCAAGGAGAGGAGAAAATGCTCATATATGAATACATGCCCAACAAGAGCTTAGATTCATTTATTTTTGGTTTGTACGGCTAATGAACTATCAACTTGCAGACTTGCGGTCCATTTCTTTTATTTCTTTCTCGGACAATGACAAGTATCATTAAATTGAAAATTTGTAGGTTCTAAAAGAAAACTTCTTGATTGGTCCAAGCGCTTTCACATTATCCACGGAATTGCTCGGGGGCTTATGTATCTTCATCAGGATTCTAGATTAAAAATCATCCATAGAGACCTCAAAGCTAGCAATGTATTACTGGATAGTGAATTAAATCCAAAAATATCAGATTTTGGTTTGGCAAGAATATTTGGAGGAGATCAAATTGAAGATAACACAAGACAAATAGTTGGTACATAGTAAGTATGTTTTATGATATCTTTATTTTGAATATATGCACATTAACTGAATATGATATTAATTTCTTTATGATGTATAATAGTGGTTACATGGCTCCTGAATACGCAATTCGTGGGCTATTCTCCGTCAAATCTGATGTGTTCAGCTTTGGAGTATTATTATTAGAAATAGTGAGTGGCATGAAAAACAGGGAGCCTTTTTTGCCAAGCCAAAGCGTTAATCTTATTGGACATGTTAGTACCAAGGAGCCTTACTTTTCTCTTATCATTGCTGAAATTGGTTACTGATTCAATGTTTCGAATTGCTGTAGGCATGGAGGTTGTGGAATGAGGGAATCCCACTTGAATTCTCCGATAAGCATTTGGGGGAATCTTGCGTTGAATCAGAAGTATTACGATGCATCCATGTCGGTCTTCTTTGTGTGCAATACCATGCTAATGATAGGCCAAACATGACATCTGTTGTCATAATGTTGAGTAGTGAAGGTGTTTTGCCTGAACCTAAAGAACCTGGTTTACTTTTAGAAAATATCCCAATTAAGAGAGAATCTCCTAATAGTCATACAAATCCTTCAAGTAATAAAGTATCTATCACCTTGTTAGAAGCCAGGTAAGGTCAATTTTACTTTGATTTTGGACCGCTAATGAGAGTACTCTTAAGGAAAAGACTGTATTTGCAATAGTGAAAGATATTGTTGATTCTAAATAGCTCCCTTCTTTTTGTGCTTGAGTTTAAATAAACAATTTCTTCTTCGATTGTGTTTTACCCCTTTTTTTAAAAAAAAAAAAAGTTGCATCAGACAAATGAAAGAATACATTATGCATGAAAATTGCACGAACTTGTTCCAGAAAAGTTTAATAATAGGTACCTCGCAAATTTTAACTTGTAGCATCCTAAAATGAACCCTTTACTTTTTCTTCTGACCTTTTTATTGTTTGAACTATCGGGATGTATCGGAATTGAATAACAAATAAGATCACAGTTGTAGAAATGATTAAAACTCGTCATATGATTATGTTGTGAACAATTTTATCAATTTACTTGCTTATAATAATACTAAATTTCCTTACATTTAGACAAGCTGAAAATATACGTTGATGATGACAGATGAAAATTTTGTCCAATATCTTGTTTTTAAAAGAAAAGAGGGAAAAAAAGCGTCTGAATCTTTCTTCTCTTGATCGTATTATAAGAATTTTGGCCAATCTTTCTCTTTGTAATTGGCAGATAAATATAAAATAAAGTAGAAGTTTTTGTTTTGAATTCCAAATATGTCATCACTATCTTACCTTATTCCTACATTGAAAAGTCTCCTGTCGTAGCCGTAAAGTATGCGGTATTCTGACTTGAGGTACACCAAGTCAACCTGCTTGGGCTGTTTGATTTTCATTTAGTAGATCAATTCATCAAGGGAATGGTAATTCGTCCTTATACTTTTCAGAATCTAAAATACGACTTATTTAACCCCCAACAAATATATATATATACTCCTCCGGTCCTAATTATAAGACCCAATTGACTTATTTGAGGAGATTAAGGAAGTAAGTTAAGTTGGTTATTTATAATAAATAAGTGTTGTCATTCCTAAAATATCCTTGCTAATTAAGTATATTGGCTAAACTATCATTATTAGAAGGATTATCTTGGAAAAAAATGCATAAATATAAGAGACAAAATGGATTGGGTCTTATAATTAGGACCAAATAAAAAGTCAAATTGGGTCTTATAATAAGGATCGGAGAAGTATATTTTTTACATAAAAGGGCCAAAAAGAAACTTGCACTTTTTTTTTTTTGGTATTTTCATTTTTGTCCCTCGCAACATAGTTCACTTGCATTTCCAGCGCAGTCGTCTAGCTGCCTCCATGGGTCCTCATTTGATGCTCACCACCGATGCTTATCACCTGATAAGTAATCTGGACGGTTTAGATTTAATATTATTAAATAATTATTTTCAAATAAAAAAATTATATTTTTAAAAAATGATAGTTAAGAGATTATTTTTATTTGTTATCTTATACCTATTAAAATAATTATTTTAAATAAATAAAAATAAAATAAATCTGGACCGTCCATATCTGGAACTGATGAGCATTGGGTGCTCATCAAAACTGATGAACACCCAATGTAAATCCCCATCAACCGTACTCAAATGCAATAATCTAATACTTTTTTTAATACGTATTTATATAAAATAAATAATATGTTATTTTTAAGTAAATTTAATGAAAATGTGGAATTTCCTAGGTGACGGCCTTTTTTCATGCTTTTATTAAGGGTTTTGGGAAAATTGCAATCAATCAAAATTTTCCAATCCTCTCTTTCTAAAATGAAAATGTGAAATTCTGTTATTTTCTAAACCAAGCATAATACTTTTTTGGTCCTATTTATAAATCACTTTATTAAATTTTTAATATAAATATATTATTTTGTCTTTCATTTATAATAGTGTAGATAGTTTTTCTTAAAGATGAATATATTAAATAGACGTAAAGTTAAAAAGTTGTTGTATTTTAATGGGGAGTTAATGCGGTTTAAAGTTTTTCTTGGTCTGTTTAAAATATACTAGAAGTGTTTTATAAATAGGATAAGAGAAGTAATATTAAAACCCTTCCAATTTTTTTCCCTTCACCTACGCTGCATTATTTTCTTGTTGCTAAACTATTTTGTCAACCACGCTGGGAAAAAAAAGAAGAAAGAAAGGTGGCAAATAGTTGTCTCTTCGTGTACATTAGGTGAACAATTCCTTTCATTAACGGAGAATTTGAATTGCAGTTTTTCAGGACCCCTTTGGAATAATTTTTAAATAGTTTTTTAATTGTAATTTCCAGAGTATGAGGTAAGTATGCGAGAGAAAATTTATCTCAATTTATATAAAAGGTGCTTATAAGCACTTATTTAAACCAATCCAAACAAACATTTAATGTCGTTAATTACATGATGACTAAAGTTTATATATTTGATAGCGATTATTATTTTGTATATATGATATATATAACTCATTTTGAAAGCTGACCATCAAGAAAACATGCGTGGACTCTATTCAAATTAAACAATAAGGCCAAGTTATTATTTTTTTAATAAGACCATTAATTTATGGGAGAATTACAATTAAATCCCATAGAAGAGAAATAATTACCGAAAGGTCGCAATAACAACCTCAACAGCCTATAATGACAAGTCCTATAGTGAGAATGACAACCTCTGGGACTTGTTTTTCAATTGTTTTTCTTCCTTTGGACCTCATTATAATTCTCCCTTAATTTATTCAGGAGGAGTTTGGTAAACTCAAAAACATTTAAGAAAAGTACTTCCCCGCAAATTAAAATAAAATTCCTCTAACATATGTGAATCATTTTTCAGGAGAATTATGAAATCCTAATAAATAAATATAATACGGAATTACCATTGTTTTCTATATCATAATACATTGGTATATGTTTGTCTACTTGCGAAACTGTTTTTTGACAATTACATTTTTTCTCGTAATAATTCTCCCTCTTTCTTTTGCTGTTACATGGTCCCAAAAAGGAATGTAGGTAGCAAAATCTTATTGCATTTGCCATTGAAACTTTGAAACCCTTGAAATCCTTGCAACTTCAACGATAAGAATGTTTTATTGATCACTAATTCATGATCATTTGATCCCGTCAAAATTTGTATACTATATATCTATTAATAGATTGTCACTTAGTTTTTCTTTAAGAAATAATAACCATATCATTTTTTTTTATTTTAGTATAATATTTTAATATAAAAAACGATAATTTCATTGACGTAAAAAGGAGCAAAGAACAACTTGATTGTAGAAATCAATTACGTTCATTATCGAAAAAAAGAAATCAATTATGTTGAATCCATTGCTAAAAAACAATAAAAATTTAGAATGAAAGGCCTGATCCTTCCTTTCCCTGACCCTGCTACAAGCATTTGATGGATCTCAGTACACGTGCAAGGATCTGTTAGTTTGTTGGCAGAAAGCATTACGTTGAATTTGAACTTTGGGTTTGGAATTCTGAATACGATGTCAGAAAGTCATTATCTTATTCTTGCATTGTGCAGGAAAGAGAACAGTTTTTTCGCACTGCAAGAGCACCAAGTCAACCCGCATACTTCTGCCTTCTGGTGGGCTGCCCTTTCAACATGTGCCCCATCAGGATCATGGGTATATTTATTTAATCTAGGCTAGACAAATTCATTGAATCCATGGCTATCCTTCCTTATTTGCTTGTTCTTCCCAATCTGCTTTTGTTCTTCCCTAGATTTTCTTTTGCAACTGATACCCTCACCCAGTTCGAGTCTCTTCCTGACGGCCAGACCTTGGTTTCTGAAAATGAAATCTTTGAATTGGGTTTCTTTAGCCCTGGTAGTTCCACAGACCGCTATGTTGGAGTCTGGTACCACAAAATCCCAGGTAAAACTGTTGTTTGGGTTGCCAACCGAGGCAGACCTATCAAAAACAACTTTGGCATGTTGAGAATAAACACAGAGGGACATCTTGTGCTTCTTGGCCAAAACGAGACAGTTGTTTGGTCAGGAAATTCCACCACAAAAGCTTGGAGTCCAATTGTGCAGCTTTTAGGCTCTGGAAACTTGGTTCTAAGAGATGGGAAAGATCAAAAGCCTCACAACTATTTGTGGCAAAGCTTTGACTATCCTTCTGATTCAATTTTGCCAGGAATGAAGCTTGGATGGGACCTCAGAACTGGTCTCAATCGACGTTTTACAGCATGGAAGAATTGGGATGACCCTTCCTTTGGAGACCTTACAGATGAACTTGTACTACACAATTATCCTGAAGACGTAGTCAGGCAGGGCACAACAGAGTATATAAGGAGTGGTCCCTGGAATGGTGTCCGGTTCAGTGGCATTTCTCATGCAACGAACAATCCACTTCATGAAGGAGAGTTTGTCTGGAATAAAGATGAGGTGTATTTCGTTTATAATGTGAGAAATGAGTCACTGATTACCAGATTTGTCTTGAACCAGACATTATACTCAGTACTGGACATGATATGGATTGAAGAAGATCAAAGGTGGATCACTTTCAGTTATATACCGATTGATAACTGCGATAGATATAGCCGTTGTGGCCCTAATGGAAACTGCGTTGAGGGTGAAACACCAATTTGTCAGTGCTTGACGGGCTTTTTTCCAAAATCACCCAAGAGATGGAATGCAATGGACTGGTCTGAAGGATGCACCCGTAATGAATCATGGAGTTGCAAGGAAAAAAACAGGGATTATTTTGTCAAATTTAGTGGGCTCAAATTGCCAGATACTAAATATTCTTGGGTCAATGCAAGTATGACACTTGTGGAATGCAAAGCCAAATGCTGGGAAAATTGTTCTTGTACTGCTTATGCTAATTTAGATGTCAGGGGAGGAGGAAGTGGTTGTGCTATGTGGTTCGGTGATTTAATTGATATAAGGCAGATTCCCTTTGATGACCAGGATTTATATATTCGCCTTGCTTCTCCAGAAACAGGTGCAGCCTTTTAGTGACCATTTTTCAATCATCTCTTGGATCCTTTGGCAACCTCAACTTTTTGTCTATTAACTCTTCATTTTGTTGTGAAGCTGAACAGGATGGAGCTAATGGAAATACAACAATGGTGATTACAGCACTGGTGACCATTGTATTGGCTATTATGATGCTTTTCACTTTGTTTTGCGTTTGCAAGCTTAGAAGAAACTCTATAGGTAAGCATTCCCATTGCAACCGCCTTCACTTTTCTCCCGCTTTTCCCATCTTGTGATAACTGGAGTATAATTGAACATGGTTGAGCTTGATGCCAATTTGTTTCCTAATGGACGGAATGATTTCCTTTCTTTGTTTTTTTTCTTTGACTATTTTTCTCACTTAGTTTACCAAAGTGTACTAAGTAACAACGACAAAGGCTCCTAAGGAAATATGGAGCTACATATAAATTATAGCTAATGCTACTAATAGTTGTGTTTTATTTATATATTACATCTAATGTCCAAAATTGAACAAGGAAACCTTGCTAACAGCAAACAATGAAGAAGGATCTAACGGAAATATGGAGCTAAAAACCTTGATAGCAATAAACAATGAAGAAGGTTATGAAGGAAATACGGAGCAACGTATCTATGACCTTGCAGTAATAGCTAATGCTACTAATAACTTCTCATCAGACAACAAGCTTGGCCAAGGTGGTTTTGGTCCTGTATACAAGGTAAGCATGCAATCAACTTTAACTAAGAGTGAAAGTTTACAATTATTCTTGCTGATTTATGATGTTACATATCCAGAATCATTTATATGAGGTAAAAATGGCAGGGTATGCTTGTGGACAGACAAGAAATTGCGGTGAAACGTCTTTCACAAAGTTCTTGCCAAGGGCTGCAAGAATTTAAGAATGAAGTCAAATTGTGTGCCAAACTTCAGCACCGTAATCTTGTTAAGGTTCTTGGTTGTTGCATTCAAGGAGAGGAGAAAATGCTCATATATGAATACATGCCCAACAAGAGCTTAGATTCATTTATTTTTGGTTTGTACGGCTAACGAACTATCAACTTGCAGACTTGCGTCCATTTCTTTTATTTCTTTCTCGGACAATGACAAGTATCATTAAATTGAAAATTTGTAGGTTCTAAAAGAAAACTTCTTGATTGGTCCAAGCGCTTTCACATTATCCACGGAATTGCTCGGGGGCTTATGTATCTTCATCAGGATTCTAGATTAAAAATCATCCATAGAGACCTCAAAGCTAGCAATGTATTACTGGATAGTGAATTAAATCCAAAAATATCAGATTTTGGTTTGGCAAGAATATTTGAAGGAGATCAAATTGAAGATAACACAAGACAAATAGTTGGTACATAGTAAGTATGTTTTATGATATCTTTATTTTGAATATATGCACATTAACTGAATATGATATTAATTTCTTTATGATGTGTAATAGTGGTTACATGGCTCCTGAATACGCAATTCGTGGGCTATTCTCCATCAAATCTGATGTGTTCAGCTTTGGAGTATTGTTATTAGAAATAGTGAGTGGCATGAAAAACAGGGAGCCTTTTTTGCCAAGCCAAAGCATTAATCTTATTGGACATGTTAGTACCAATGAGCCTTACTTTTCTCTTATCATTGCTGAAATTGGTTACTGATTCAATGTTTCGAATTGCTGTAGGCATGGAGGTTGTGGAATGAGGGAATCCCACTTGAATTCTCCGATAAACATTTGGGGGAATCTTGCGTTGAATCAGAAGCATTACGATGCATCCATGTTGGTCTTCTTTGTGTGCAATACCATGCTAATGATAGGCCAAACATGACATCTGTTGTCATAATGTTGAGTAGTGAAGGTGTTTTGCCTGAACCTAAAGAACCTGGTTTACTTTTAGAAAACATCCCAATTAAGAGAGAATCTCCTAATAGTCATACAAATCCTTCAATTAATAAAGTATCTATCACCTTGTTAGAAGCCAGGTAAGGTCAGTTTTACTTATTGATTTTGGACCACTAATGAGAGCACTCTCAAGGAAAAGCCTGTGTATTTGCAATAGTGAAAGATATTGTTGATTCTAAATAGCTCCCTTCTTTGGGCATTGTGCTTGAGTTTAATAAACAATTTCTTCTTCCATTGTGTTTTACCCCATTTTGGGGGGAAAATAAAAAGTTGCATCAGACAAATGAAAGAATACATTATGCATGAAAATTGCACGAACTTGTTCCGGGAAAGTTTAGTAATAGGTACCTCGCAAATTTTAACTTGTAGCATCCTAAAAAGAACTTTTTTTTTTTTTTTACTTTTTTATTGTTTGAACTATCGGGATCGGAATTGAACAACAAATAAGATCACAGTTGTAGAAATGATTAAAACTCACCATATGATTATGTTGTGAACAATTTTATGAATTTATTTGCTTATAATAAAACTAATTTTCCTTACATTTAGACAAGCTGAAAATATACGTTCGTGATGACAGATGAAAATTTTGTCCAATATCTTGTTTTTAAAAGAAAAGAGGAAGAAAAGGGTCTGAATCTTTCTTCTCTTGGTCGTATTATAAGAATTTTGGCCAATCTTTCTCTTTGTAATTGGCAGATAGATATAAAATAAAGTTGAAGTTGTTGTTTTGAATTCCAAATATGTCATCACTGTCTTACCTTATTCCCACATTGAAAAGCCTCCTGTCGTAGCGGTAAAGTATACGGTATTCTGACTTGAGGAACACCAAGTCAACCTGCTTGGGCTGTTTGATTTTCATTTAGTAGATCAATTCATCAAGGGAATGCTAATTCGTCCTTTTACTTTTCAGAATCTAAAATATGACTTCTTTAACCCCCAACATATATATATATATATATATATATATATATTTTACATAAAAGGGCCAAGAAGAAACTTGCACTTTTTTTTTTTAATATTTTCATTTTTGTCCCTCGCAACATAGTTCACTTGCATTTCCAGCGTAGTCGCTAGCTGCCTCCATCAACCCAATGCAATAATCTAATACTTTTTTTAATTCGTATGTATATAAAATAAATAATATGTTGTTTTAAAGTAAATTTAATGAAAATGTTGAATTTCCTAAAATAAAATAAAGATTAACCACAATATAACTATTTTTTTTCTATGAAAAGAGAGTAGATAAACAATATAAAAATGATCAAAGATATACTAATTCCATTTTGGGGTGACCGCCTTTTTTCATGCTTTTCTTAAGCGTTTTGGGAAAATTACAATCAATCAAAATTTTCCAATCCTCTCTTTCTAAAAGGAAAATGTGAAATTCTGTTATTTTCTAAACCAAGTATAATACTTCTCTGGTCCTATTTATAAGTCACTTTATTAAATTTTTAATATGAATATACTATTTTGTCCATCATTTATTATAGTGTAGCTAGTTTTTTTTTTTAAAGATGAAGATATTAAATGAAGGTAAAGTTAAAAAGTTGTTATATTTTAATGGAGAGTTCATGCATTTTAAGATTTTTCTTGATCTGTTTAAAATATGTTGGAAGTGCTTTATAAATAGGATTAAAGGAGTAATATTAAAATCCTTCCAATTTTTTTATTTATCTATTACATTTAATGTACAAAATTGAACAAAGAAACCTTGCTAACAGCAAACAATGAAGAAGGATCTGATAGAAATATGGAGCTAAAAACCTTGATAGAAATGAACAATGAAGAAGGTTATGAAGGAAATATAGAGCAACGCATCTTTGACTTTGCAGTAATCGCTAATGCCTACTAATAACTTCTCATCAGACAACAAGCTTGGCCAAAGTGGTTTTGGTCCTGTATACAAGGCAAGGATGCAATCAACTTTTACTAAGAGTGAAAGTTTACAATTATTCTTGCTGATTTATGATGTTACACATTCAGAATCATTTATATGAGGTAAAAATGGCAGGGTATACTTGTAGACGGACAAGAGATGGCGGTCAAACGGCTTTCACAAAGTTCTTGCCAAGGTCTGCATGAGTTTATGAATGAAGTCAAATTGTGTGCCAAACTTCACTACTGTAATCTTGTTAAGGTTCTTGGTTGTTGCATTCAAGGAGAGGAGAAAATGCTCATATATGAATATATGGCCAACAAGAGCTTAGATTCATTTGTTTTTGGTTCGTATGACTAAAGAACTATCAATTAGCTTACTTATATCCTTTTCTTTTATTTCTCCCTGGGTAATGATGAGTATCATTACATTAAAAATTTGTAGGTTCTGAAAGTAAACATCTTGATTGGTCGTTTTCACATTATCCAAGGAATTGCTCGAGGACTCATGTATCTTTATCAAGATTCTGAATTAAAAATTGTCCATAGAGACCTCAAAGCAAGCAATATATTATTGGATAGTGAATTAAATCCAAAAATATTAAATTTGGTTTGGCAAGATATTTAGAGGAGATAAAATTGAAGATAACACAAGACAAATAGTTAGTACATAGTAAGTGTGTTTTATGATATCTTTATTTTGAATATATGCACATTAACTGAATATGATATTAATTTCTTTATGATGTATAATAGTGGTTACATAGTTCCTGAATATGCAATTCATGAGCTATTCTCAGTCAAATATGACGTTTTCAGCTTTGAAGTACTATTATTAGAAATAGTGAGTGGCACGAAAAACAAGAAGCCTTTTTGGCCAAGCCCAAGCGTTAATCTTATTGGACATGTTAGTGCCAAAGAGCCTAACTTTTCTCTTATCATTGCTGACATTGGTAACTGATTGATGTTTCGAATTGCTATAGGCATGGAGGTTGTGGAAGGAGGGAATCCCACTAAAATTTGTCGATGAACATTTGGGGAACTCTTGCATTGAATTAGAAGTATTGCGATGGCATCCACATCGGTCTTCTTTGTTTGCAATACCATGCTAATGATAAGCCAAACATGACATTTGTGGTTATCAGTGTGAGTAGTGAGGGTGTCTTGCCTGAACCTAAAGAACCTGGTTTTCTCTTAAAACACATTCCAGTTAGGGAAAATCTCGTAACAATCATACCAACACTTTCAAATAATGAAGTATCTATCACTTTGTTAGAAGCCATATGAAATCGATTTTGCTTATTGATTTTGGGCACTAATGGGCATAGTTTAAAAGATAAGATTGTCTATTTGCAACTAATGCAAGATGATGTGTTTAAAAGATTCGAAACTGCTCTCTTATTTTGGGGATTATGCTTGAGTTCAAATGAAAACAATTTCTTTTTTCAATTGTGTTTCACCCATTTTAAAAAAAAAAAACTGCAACAGAAATGTCAACCCAACAATTTTTTATATTTTCATTTTTGTCCTTCGCGACATAGCTCACTTGTATTCTCATTTTCTCTAGCTTTTGGCCAAAAAAAAAAAATTGTCCTCTAGCTGCGTCGATAACCTCTACTCAAATGCAATGATCTAATACCGTTTTAATATATTTAATATATATAATGAATAATACTATGTGATTTTCAAGGAAGTTTAATGAAAATATTCAATTTTCTAAATAAATAAGGATTAATCACAATATAACAATTTTATTTTTTCCTATGAAAAAAAGGGAATAGACGTATAAAATTGATAAAGATATAATATTTTCATTTTTGGGTGAGAACGAGATCGCCCCATTCAAGTCCTTTTCTTATGGGTCTGGAAAAATTTCTCGCGCCCCTATAGTGGTTGACTATTGTCTTCTCGTGTACGTTGGGTGAACAGTCGCCTTCACTAACGGAGGATTTGATTTGCAATCTGTTAATACAGTGAATGACACGATGACCGAAGTTTATTTGATAGCAACTATTTTTTTTTCTATATACTCTTCTTTCAGTACTTAATATAAGATATAATTAGAGAGTTAATATTATCTTACATATAAAATTATTTTTTATAATATTTAACTTTTTTTTCATATTAACCTCTGTTGATATTTCCTCAATAATAATTAAATAAGAGAAAAAAAGAAAAATTAAAAAGATACTTGGGTGTTTTTAAAAAAGCATATCATATTAATTAATTTAATTAACATTTTGAAGATACTCAAATTAAACTAATTAGATTTTATATTAAGTACCGAAGAGTAAATATATATTATATATATATATAACTCATTTTAAAAAACTGACCGTCAACAACCCATACGGGGACTAAAGACTATTCAAATTAAACCATAAGGCACTGAAAATATAAAATGTCATTTTTTTTAAATAAGACCATTTACTTAGGAACAGTTTGGAAAAAACACAAAAACACTTAAAAAAGTACTTTAGGGCAAGGAAAAAAACCCCCCTCACATGTTAAAATTCTTTTTAAAAAACACTATAAAATCCTAATAAATAAATATAATATGGAACTACTATTGTTTTCTATATTAGAGTTTATTATTATGTGTTTGTTGCTTATGAATTTTTTTTTTTTATCATTCATTCTTTTCTCGTAATAACAATCACCTCCAATCAAATAGAAAATAAATTTTAAATAGTATTTTGACATGTGAATGATCAGTTCAATTTTAAAATACTCCTCCGGTCCCTAATGTAAGACCCTTATACTAGTGTGTATAAGGGTCTTATTTTAGGACCGGAGGAGTACTAATTAAAGAAACTTTTAACCTAATTACGTTTTGGCGTAACAAAGAATAGAGAAGAACATAGAGGCAAAACCAAAACTAACCCAACCTCTCCAAAAATCTAATTTATTCTTTTGTACAAAACTTTAAGTAGAGTTGCCAAAGGTGAAGCGCTTGAATAGCTCTAAGTTTTTCAAAAACTCGTTTCGATGATTTATATGAAGCCTACTATTGTCGGGGGCACGTTTGAAAGCCCAAAGGCGGTAACGAAGTAAATGGGAATAGTCATAGAAGTACAACTCAGAAGCCTGGTCAGAATAAAAATAATGTGGGCCTTTAAGTCCATTGTATTGTAGGGTAAAATAGACTCTTTGGAGCCCACTATGATTCCACCGACCCGTTCGAATTCGAAAACGGAGAAGCCTTTTTGTGAATGGGCCTTTTACAGTCTTCATTGCAATTATCGGGTTCCACTCTTCTT